TGGGTAGAATTGACAAGTACGCAAACAGTAATTTCTCAACAAAAGAATAAGACCAACCGTGTGGCTGTTGCAGGTGATGATGGGAAACCTCCTGTCCGCCATGTTTTCCGCCACGGACGTGCAGCAGGAGTGGAACAGGGGAGAGCTGTGGGCGTTCGTCTACAGGATCATGTTCAGTGGTAAGGGCTCAGACACAGTTATCATACGGTTGCAAAAAATGAAAACATTCTCGGGGTAGTCGTGCATTGTGGTACCAAATAATGCAGCTATGTTTCTGATAGCCTGCTTTATGAAAGATCAATAAGGCTATATGTGTATCATAAATGATATGGTAGCTATAAAGAGTTTGGTCGGTATCATCCCTGTATTACCACATGTCGGAGTCGTTGTAGGATCGTATCCACGTTTGCTCAGTAAAATAAAATCTCGTTTTGAAACTTTAAAAAGTTCACACAGCTGAAAAGTGCGATGTAATTTCAAAGTTCGAGGTCGTGAGCAATTCGCAACTACAATTTCGTTTCTCTGTTGAAGCAAAAATAAGCAAATCTAACTTCCTTTTTATCTATCATCTTGCAACACAATCTAGGAAATAGTGAGGAAAAACTAGTCTCAGCATAGACCTACAATTCAAGCAAACATATCCAAAGAAACAAAGAAATAAAAGTTGGTGTTCCACAGCATCCTTCAGGACGCTGTTCGGGAGACACAAGGAAAACAAAGACGAGACCGCCCGACTGGTTCACTCCATGGAAGAGTTTCAGAAATACGACAAGCGCTTCCCAGAAATCATTTCGAACGTGCCGTGGTGGCTCATGGGACAAACCAGGAAGCGATACGAATATCTGAAGGTATGTAATGCATGCCCTGGTTATTTATGTTTACCTTCACAGAAGGAAAACATTGGTTTTGCTCGGACCAGACGTCTGTCACCATGGTAACTGGTGCTGTAGCAGACACCCTCTGGTGTTGAATTATGTCATGCAGCAAGTGTCAGAGCGCTGGAGGGGCTGGTTACCTTGTATATGAATGTGTTTGAGTAATAATATAATTAAGAATCAAGAATAAACAGATCAGTTAGAGCAGTAAGCAGCAAGCAAATAAAGGACTATGTGTAAATTTAAGAAAACAGAGCTTTAGTTTGTTGTGTTTTCAGTCCATGGTATCTCCGGCTGAGCTGAGCCAGCGGGGCTTGTCCGACTTTATGCGGATGCGACAGGAGATTTACACAGACGGAGAGCTGTCTGCTGACGAGAAGGCGGCCTTCAACTTCGCAACCATGTGGGCTTCGCTGGTAAGTAAGAATATCAACATCACAAGATTTCAAAAATAAGTACAAAACGACACACGAAGTACCGCATTTGGCCAATGTATGTTGAATTCATTTCCACACCGAATGGTGCTAACGGTGGCACCAAGCTCCAGTTCTATAGCCTAAAAGCAGGTGGCTAGTCAACTACTAGCCAAATACTTGGTGCCAAGCAGAGAAAGCTGTATGTACGATTTTAAAGCCTTTGACTCAGCTGAGATCGAACTCACGACCTACCGAGTGCGAGGCGACACTCCACCTCTGCACAGGTTTCGCCAGTGTGCATAGTCCTGGATAAGCTTCTCAATGATCCATTTTGTGGACACAACGCTCCCTCGTCACTGCAGAGTAACACTCTTTCTTGTCTACTCCAGAGTAACACGGTCTCCGCCGCCTTCTGGACCCTGTACCACCTGCTGCACTATGGAGTAACACTATTTCTTGTCCACTCCAGAGTAACACGGTGCCGCCGCCTTCTGGACCCTGTACCACCTGCTGCACTATAGAGTAACACTCTTTCTTGTCCACCCCAGAGTAACACGGTGCCGCCGCCTTCTGGACCCTGTACCACCTGCTGCACTATAGAGTAACACTATTTCTTGTCCACTCCAGAGTAACACGTTACCCGCCGCCTTCTGGACCCTGTACCACCTGCTGAAGGATCCGGTTGCCATGGCCGCCGTCAGGGCAGAGGTGGATCAGGTTAAATGCTATATTATGTTTACCTTGAAGTTCGCAAAACAAAAACATATTGTTCTTGCTCTGTTTTTTATTTCTTTTCTTCTTCTTCCCCAAAAAGCAAAAGAAAGTCAATGACCTGTACCAGACGTCTATCACTATGGTAACTAGTGCTATGACAAACACCCTGTGGTGTTGCGTTCCATTATGTAGCTGGACAGTTGGAGAGGCTGATCACTATATATTATATATGAATGTGTTTGCTTGACAATAAACAGAGCAGTATCATAAAACTTTATCTGTGTTGGTAGTAACATGCTTAAAGTTTAAACTTTTGGTCCAACACATAGAGCTTGTTGGACTATAATAATGTTTACCATTGAAGGTAAACATATGCATTTACTTTCCAAATGTTATTTCTCTCGTTTAGTTTCTTATTTATTCTTCTGGTTATCTTATTTGTTTATCTCCACAATCAAAACTAATGTATCGAAAGAAAACGCTTTGATGATCATCATGAACACAAGGATCCATTAATACTCTGAACTGTTTAATCTTGTTTTATTCCTGTATCTTGTGGTAGCCGGTATAACAGCCCTTCGGCGTAACACAGGTACACCAGCTTCAAAGGCACGTGGCGGGATGGCAGCTGATCAAGAAACAGAATAAGAAGGAAAGAAAAAGAAAAGGCGATAAGAAAACGATTTAATGATCATCATTAACGTAAAGATCCATCAATACTATGAACTGTTTAATCTTTGTGCGTAGCGTGCGTAGCCCAGTGGTTAGCGATCCTGCCTCTGGACTAAGAGGTTGGGAGTTCGAATTCAGGCTGTTGTCGCTCACCCGACTGCACGCTACTGTTTAGGATCGCAGTCCTTAGGACGGGACGTTAAGCCGTGGTCCATTGTTCATTGTGCTTGTCGAAAAAGAGCTAGGGAAATTTCCCCGTTACAATGAACCTGTAAATACTGTACATAGCGTCTGTCTTCTCTGTCACGACCAGTGGAAGATTAGCTCTTCAGTGAGTTAAACTGGCTCGAGATCACTTTCACTTTTTACCTTCACCAACAAGGTTATGTTTTTTTTTTTGTCTGTTCTCTCCAGCTTCTGAAGGAGACCGGTCAGACCTTAGAGAACGTGAAGGAGGGAGGCGAGATGATCCACGTGACGAGGCAGCAGTTGAACGACATGAAATGCCTCGGTGCGTAGATTGCTAAATAATTAGCCTCTACTAGGTAGCCTGGGTGCCATCCTCCGTAGTTTTCGCCCGCTCCCTAATGTCGCTGGCCACAGTAGCCAGTGACATTAGGAAGTGGTCGAAAACTACGGAGGATGGCAACCAGACCATCTACTAGGCTGTTTAAGGTGGTATGGAAGGGTGGCTGAGGACTTTGGGGACATCCTAAAAATACTACTTAGGATTACCTATGGCCATTGATTTTTTTTGTGTGAGTACCTTAGTGCAAGATGATAATTTATGCAAATTTTGATGACGTAATCATGACGTCATCTCGAGTTATGAGCCACGCCCCCTTTTTAGAAAAATCAATTTTTCTGGCCAGCGCTTTGGTTTTTATTCACCATATTTTGTTGAAAGGCACACACTAGTAATAGGAACAAACGTATGCGAGCATTTTTTAATATCTCAAAGTGTTGATTTTTTATGAATTTTTTTTCGTAAATGTCAACAGTGCCATGCGCCAGCACCCCTCCCCAACATATAAAGCGGCGCAGTGTGTCGACCTCGCATACGATTTTAGTTTATAAGCTTATCTTTCAAAAAATACCACCTTTTTGTCTCTTTCCATGAACATTTTTTCCACAGTTTCATTCTTAAAATGCTGTATATGTCGTAGGGGTTACATAATGTCCATTTTGAAGCCCGAAAGAGCCGAAATCGCCAATTTTTTGTCGCCATTCCAAGGGCGCCCATCCCTCCCACCAAAAAATGGGTCATTGGCCTGTCAGCACGCTGTATTTAGCTTACTGCGGCGCTATTTGGAAAAACAGGCCGGGGATATGTCCAGTAAAAAGAACAGCCAAAAAGAACGCTAAGATTTCGCGCGAGTAGGGGTCACGTGACTCACCCAAAATGGCGGATGGCGTGGCTTGTTTACGAGCGGAGAAAGCTGTGCGCTTTGTGCCAGCATTTGGGCCGGTAGACGATCTTTTTCACGGCCGTATCCTACGTAGATTTGCAGATGAAGGTTTATGGACTATTCTGAGACCTTATTGGAGAAAATCTGCCGGGGTATTCTGGAGTTACGGACTTGACGATCAGCAAGATCACAACACTGAAAAGTTATCGCGCGATACCGGAGTAGATAGCCCTGGAAAAAAAGCTTGCCCGGACGTGGTATGGGATTATGAGCGAGTATAATTTTCTTGATTATGTGAATTTACGTTGCACGTTGTCCTAGACTTGTGGAAATAATTTTCACGCACGACGTTCTATGTTCTATCTGAAAAGTACGGACTATCTCTGTAAATCTGTTGGAACTGATTTTTTTTGTAAGCGGCTACTATTTGCTGTATGCTGTAAATCGTAAAAGATTATTGTTAGCAGTTACCGTAAGATTATGTAAAAATTCTGCTGAAGTTTGTAAGTATCGTATTTTTTAATAAAAACGTAGATTTTATAAAAATTACTAGTAGTTCTTATCATGTCTGTTCACTAGAACGTAACGTTAACGTTTAGTAGTTACAAACGTGTTGCAGTCGATACAAACTCAGAATAATAAGACAGTGCACAGGTAGAGACGCGTTTTTATTCGGTAGAAAATTACTTAATGAGTTGTCTGTGAAAATCATGAAAGAACACAAAGGATAACGCCGCATAATGACGGCCGAGTATGAACTAGCAAGCGCGGCTCTTTATGCATGCAGTGACCCGGTCCGCCAGGCCGCTCATAACTAAACCAAGATCTAACTTGTGGCTCAAAGCAGACAGCTTCGTTTCTTTTGGCAGTCGAATGTTTTTATATAGGAAGTTGTCAGATTATTTCTGGCGTTTTTGGTGATTTGTGTGGCTGCATATCTCTGGTTGTGTGTTGCAACTTGACAACATTTTGCCGATACGAAGTGTGATAAACAATGGAAACGGCTTGTGTTTTCAGAAAATTATTATTCTTTGCATTTGGCAGGTTTTTACCCAAAACGTTTTGCAAACAACTGACATCAAACGCTCAGTAAAACTCTCTTTTCCAGTGTCTTTTCCCTTCCCAAAAATTATGAAAGTGAAGCTCTCAGTTTACGTAATGACCAGCGAGCCTGATTGGTCGAGCGGCGGAGTAGCTTTTAAAAAAAATGTGCACACCCCCACTGGGGCCTGGCTGGAGCGTGAAAAAAATGCACAATTTGGCGGTCAATTTGGCGGCCAAAATGTGGCCATAGTGACAAGACGAAAGAAAATTATAAAAATAGACCCAAAAGACTACCATATCAGATAGAGTTCGTAGTATTTCTAAATATGCCTCAGCTATCCTTCTGGACCACCTTAAGTTAACGAATTAGTAGACATTGGGTAAATAAACTGTAGACTGAATAGTATACCAGGAAAGTTAGCCGGACCGGGGGGGGGGGGGGTAACGAGTTTGGCAACGATAGGGCTAACTCCTCTGTCATACTTTTCAGTCTATTTAGCCAATTTCTATTGTTTTGTGAGCCTGAAGAGCCTGCACCGTTTCTGTCCTAGTTCCTATCAAAGTACGATCATACAATCTCCTCGGTTTGTTTGTATTTATGTACATATTTCACCAGGGGATACATATTAATGTGTCCGTTGTACAAATGTTATTTCCTCGTTGTACAAATGTTATTTCTCTCGTCCCCTACATGATCTTGTCCCTCTCTCCAGATTTAAAGCTACCGGTCGTTCACTCAGGAACAAAAACACTATCTCTATCCCACCCCCGCCAGAACAAAAAAGACTACAGAACTCTTTCCTTTATCAGTCAATCAGACTCTATAACCGGACTGTATAGATAGAGTCTGGCACAAGATAATGGACCTTGTAAATATCTGGGTTGTACACCTACTGTACAGTTTTTATAGTTGTTGTAAATATATAATTTTTTGACATTTTATCTTGTAAATATCAACGCCATTCAGGCAACATCGTATGTCGTGTTTGTCTGTTATGTTTTGGTATCTTAATAAAGAATTGAATAAAAAAATAGATACACGAAAACCCAAAATACTTCAATGCCCGTTGAATCGAGAAGAAATATTGTGGTTTAAATTCAATATCGATACAGGTAGCGCTATCAACGAGGCATTGCGCATGTGCAGTGCCTCGATCATAATCCGCGTGGCCACCGAAGATGCCGAGCTGGCCCTGGAGTCCGGCAGTACCTTCCGCATCCGCAAGGGGGACAGGGTGGGTCTATATCCGGGCTTTCTGCATATGGATCCCGAAGTCTACGATCATCCTGAGGTATCTTTCTTATCTCCCTTTATCATGTAAATACCTTTGCAGAAAATTTGCAAAAAAAATTGTTTTTAGTATTTTTTCCTTTTTTTTCTCCAAATAAAAAGACAGTGACCATGACCAGACGGCTGCTAGCTCGTCACCATGGTAACTGATGCTGTAGCGGACACCCTGTTGTGATGAATCACATTATGTAGAAAGTGGCAGGACAGATATGTGACAGACATATATGTGAATGTGTTTAAGCAAGAATAAACAGAGCAATAGTTGGTGAAGGTAATTCTATCCCTATCTTACAGTACAGGGCTGAAAGTAGACGATCACCAAATAACCGGCGCTAGCTACTAGTAATTAGTAATCAACTAATTAATGATCAGCTAACGATCACACCAGGTATCACCAAATGAGCATTGTGTCGTGCAAGGCATATTTTGTGTTAATTCTCCAAACCTCTGTCTGAACTAGTCTCCGCGCATCCAGGTACGTAGACTTGGCCCAGGCACAGTTCTGGATACACGTGGATAAGGTTTGGATCACTTATACCGGGATGGATCTAGTTCTATTCCCGCATGGGTTTGGGATAGCGACCGGCACGGTTCTGGATAGTCCAAGAGCGTAGATTTGCCCCAGGCACAGTTCTGGATACGCGTGGGCTATCCAGAACGGGTTATGGAATAATCACGTATCTGGATAAAACATGATTCAGATAGAGCACGTGCACATTTCTGGATAAAGCACGGTTCTGGATAAAGCACGGTTCTGGATACAGCAGCCTTATACTATATTGATAAGTGTGGTGGGTTCTTTATCTTTAATCAAGATTTCCCCCTTCAAGTAAGACCTATTTTGGGTACAACTGACGCCTACTCTTTTCTATAAGTGTGATGGGTTCTTTTACATTTGTTTCAGACCTTCAAGTACGACCGTTTCTTGGAAAACGGCCAGGAGAAGACCGCGTTCTACAAGAACGGCCGGAAGTTACGTCACTACCTGCTTCCGTTTGGCCATGGCGTCAGCATGTGTCCCGGAAGGTTCTTCGCGCTGAACGAGATCAAACAGCTCGTCACCATCGTGGTCTGCTACTTCGACATGGAATTAATTGACATGGAGACCCCTCCCATGGACCAGTCACGGGCCGGGCTGGGCACTTTAGCGCCTCTCAACGATTGTCTGTTTCGCTATAGGTTTAAACAGGGCTGTCTGTGAGTGTATGTATCACCCTTGGACACTCTATGGCTTTCTGAATAAAACGTTATAAATGATTGACGCTGCATATGCACCGTCAGTTTCTGCATCGAGATTAACCCTACCTAGACCGGCTTTTTTG